GTGTGTCCGTGGTCATGCAGCATCCGGGACATTTCCTTTGAGCGTTTGCAGGTGCGTATATCATGTACGTGGTTTGCAGCTCTGTTCTTTTTTCTGACGTTTCCCGTGAAGATTTGTTTTTCTGTTTCATACACCCACACAAAATTTGAAAACTGAAGGTAACAATTTCGTTTGATAAAAAGGTAGGAGAGCCTATTATCTCCGACGTTTAGAACAATGTTCTGCTTGCTTCCTAGGTACCAAAAAGAACCGTGTTTCGGGCACATGATCCACCGGGTTGCGTGCAATGCCATTATCAGGCGATCTCTTTTCCGGGTACCCGATGTTAACAAAAAACGGGTACCCGGTTCTAAAAATACCCGCAAATGCACACCCCTAATTGACGCCCGAGTATTTCAGCCAGGCCTGCAGCCTTGTAAAAAGAGCCCAAATTGTGCGGTGTTATGTAACTTTCTTTTGTTCACGAACCTGGCTCAGAGCACTGCTGACCTCTTTTCAATAAGGGCCAGATTAGCATGCAGCGGTGCTGTGTGGCTAATCGCTGTGGTGGTGGAACGCTTTTGTCCCCGGTGGTAATCCGCTTGCTCTCAATGCCCCAAACCCTGGTATACGGTTTCAAAACAAGGCTGGATTATCACCACTTTTGAGAGTGAAAAATGTCGATAATTCCCAGCAGCCTGGTCTTTTGTTCTGAGTACGGTCTTTTGTTGCAGGGCCATGTTTCCTTTGTCCAAGTTCGGAGACCCCAGCCACGCATATAAACCATACGTCTCCGATTTTGAAGTCCCCAGCAGGAAGTGGTTAACATAGTTTTCTCTACACAAGTATATTGCGCACTACTGCAGCTGGACATGCTGCCTATGACTACAGCTTGGGAATCTGAATGAATTTTCCACTTTCAAGTCTAACAGACAAATCCAAGGAGACGCCATTCCTGCGGGGCCACTGCACTGACACCCATGTCTTAACTTGAGCGCGTGCACACCTTGGCAAGTCAAGACACCCTATTGGTCGGAAAGAAATGTAATGCCCGCATACAACCTGCGTGTGAACAGGACGGTTCTGCAGTAATGGCTTCTAATTATTTTCGCGGGATTTGGCTATAGCTGAGCATGTGGCTGAGGATATGGAGTGATGGAATACCTTGGCCACAGACTGGGGACAGCGTGGTGCAATGTTACTGTAGACAGCAGGGGCGGTTTAGGTACTGGTACTCACCAACCATGGCTCTGTTGGCCGAAGGAATGACCTTCTTGGCTCCGGAGGGGAGCTTGACCCTGGTCTTCTTGGTGTCGGGGTTGTGAGCGATGACGGTGGCATAGTTGCCCGAGGCCCGGGCAACCTTGCCGCGATCGCCTGTCTTCTCCTCCAGGGCACAGACGATGGTGCCTTCTGGCATCGAGCCAATGGGGAGGACGTTGCCAATTGTAAGGGCAGCTTTTGAGCAACAAAGGTTGAAGACGGGAGAGTCTTTCATTATGGTGATATGCAAACACAAATGACCCAGTGTATTGATTGTCTAAAGTACGCTTAACAATAACCCTTAGGCCTTTTTACTAGGACCCATCCTGAATCCTCTGAAATCCTCTGATTTTCAATTTGAAAAAATTGCATTCAGCCCAAATCCTCCAAAATTTCTTAAAAATGTCATTTGGAGATGTGCTTAATTGCTCAAATCCTTCAAAATCTTCCGGCAATTCCTGTCATTATATTGAGGCAGTGTGAATGGCACTCTTGAGCTGTGCAGTTGATTCAAAAGAAATATCAGGCTGAATTTGTGCTTGACTAAGCATAAACAACAAAAGGTCTGATCCACGACCTTCACATGTGGCATCCTTCGAAATCAGCCATGCACTTTGGCCATACACCTTGAATCTTTCGAATTCCTCCACTTTGCAGAAAAGAATTTTGGAGGATTTGGGAGTGTTAGGGTCAAGGTATCCTTATCACAATCACGTGGGTTGGTGAAGTGGCACATTCTAATCTACTCATCCCAATGAATGGGGTTCAATTCCCACCAAGACTTGAAGGTGGATTGAGTTCTACAGTCTCAGTGTGATTCTGCAGGCTTTCTCTAAATAATACTATTTGGGGTACTTTCCCCTCTGGCCATAAATGACCCATAATATACAAAACGGCCCCTTGTATGTCCAAATGGAATAGCGTCACACTGTCCAATGGTGTGCATGCATGTAGTATGGTTTTCAAAATCACAAATCTCCACATGGTCTCTAAGGTGTCTGCAAAGTATGCACATACATGTACATGTGTAAAGTATCCAACTGAACTACATATACACGGTGTCCAAATGGCCGAGTGTACCGCAGTGACTACGTCAAATGCACAACTATGTGCGTAAAAGGCATTAGTGCAAGAACAAGCGTGGCAACTAAAATGCACATGTACTCCAATCATTTGCACAGCACATCCTGGTTCAAAATGACATCACACTTTGGTACTCTATAGTGCCCAAAATAGCCTACAAGAGGTCCACAGCAGCAAGTTGTTGCTATTTACCTTTTTTGCCGCAGTAGATGAACTGTCCGGTGAACATGCCTTCGGCAGCCACCATCAGCTCTGTTCGTTTCTTGTATCTGTAAGGGTCTCTGAAGACGATCTTGGCCAGGGGAGCCCCGCGGCCTGGGTCATGGATGATGTCCTGGCATCAAAACGCAGAGATTTAAACCGTAAATCTCAAGCAAGAAATGCAAATCATGCGGTCAATGATCTTTGCGGCTTTTTACACTTTCAACGTAAGTAACTTCTCTAACATGATATAACTCTTGCATCTGACGATCACTGTTCCATTGTCTCATACAGGGTTCTGCCCAGGATGGTTTTAGTGCTGGCAGGACTATCTAAGCGGAGCGGCACCATTGGTTGGCGCGGAGCGTACCAGA